AGAGCTTCCTTCTTACTTGCGTAGGTTTAACCATTTTTAATGGATTATAAATTTCTATCTGAAATGGACTCTAGATGTTCTTCAGCTAATTTTAAAGCTGAAGAAATAGCAGATCTGTCCTATGACCCACCCCAGTGCGGATGATCAGAGAATCCTATGAATTAGGTGCTAGACTCAATGAGCCTCAGAAAGACCAAGTGACATTCTGAAGCCCTGAAGGTAGTAAGTAGTAGACTTAGGACTTGGAACCCAGTCCTCTGACCTAAATCCCATGCTCTTTCCACCATTTGTGGGCTCTTAGAGTTTGTGGTCGTATTGGGAGGACAAGCACATGGGAGAGAACTGAGGTCCAATAGGATATGTGCTGTGGCAGACATTGCTAGAGGCCACAGGAAGACTTTCCGAGAAAGTGACTTGGCTGTGAGTCCTGACAGGCCTCTGACGGGTGAAAGAGGCGAGGAGCATTTCAGGCAAGAAGAATCAGCATGAATAAAGGCAAGGGAGGGTGAATCAGGGAGTTTTCTTTTTTCAAGAGGAAATAATAAAGATATCACTTTATTACGTGCTGAAAAAAAGGGGGAAAGTAGGGAGACTTACCATTTAAAATTTGAAAACAGTCCGGCCGGGTGTGACTCAGCGGTTGAGCATGGACCTAGGATCCAGGCGATCAGGGTTCGATTCCCGGTCAGGGCACATGCCCGGGTTGTGGGCTCTATTCCCAGTGGGGGGCGTGCAGGAGGCAGCCGATCAATGACTCTCATCATTGATGTTTCTATCTCTCTCTCTTCCTTCCTCTCTCTGAAATCAATAAAGATATATTTAAAAAAATAAAAACATATAAAATAAAATTTGAAAACAGATTTTCAAGGAAGTTAGCGAGACATTCCTCCCACTCCCACCCCCAGTTCATACTGGGTTGGAAATAAGGTGGGTGTGGCTCCTTGGAGAAGCACAGAATGGAAAGGGTAACTGATGGTTCCTTCCTAGCTGTATTTTTTGGGGAAAATCTCCTAAGGAACCAATGTGACTTCTAGAAATTATGGTCCTTGAATCCTAGGAACCTGTATTTAAATCCCAGTTCTGCTATTTTCTGGGCTTGTGGACATAACCTCTGTGAGTCTTAGTTTTCTTATCAGCAAAAGGGGATAGCAATGTCTACCTGCAGGGTGATGCTGCAGATTTAATGAGCTGACCTATGCAAAACGACCAACAGCCTTCACACCCACAATGAAGGTCTGAAGCGGCAGGACTGCTACAATAGGTGGCATTCCATTGCCACCTCTGATAAATGTTTTTCATCTGTCTCTTTTAAATGTGTGAAGTCAGGGGTAATTTTTAAAAATTCTAATGTTCTTATTTTCAAATATCCAGCAGGTCAGTTATTGGTAAGTGACTCTTGTCATCATGGCATGATTAAGGCACTGGGCTATTTGTACAGGTCACTTGATTTAAGGGTGATTTACGCTGGATCTTCTCATTCATCAATCCACGGACCTGCAGTGAGTTCCTGTTCTATGTCTCAAAAAGAAATACTCTTCTGGTTCTTCATGTCCTATGCATGGCCTCTTGACAATTTTTGATCTTTTGCAACCTTCTGAGGGAAGTTGAGCAGATCCGGGGTAGGAGATGTTGGCCTCAAGGCACGAGCCAGCAATATTCTGAGGGTTCTAGGAATGGCACCTCATCGTGGGAGCACTTGCTGAAATTAAACTACCACAGCACCCGGGGTTCTAATACAGCGAGCTCTGCGATGTGCATGAATGCAGATAAATTACAGAGGGCTAAAAGCACAGAGTTGGTGCCTCATACAATCTCAGATAAATCAAAAGGTGCTTCTGGAAAAGGGAAAAAGGTCTTGGGGCCTTATTTCTACTTCTGTTGAGGAAAAGCCCCAATGGAAGACACAAAATAATATTGAAATGTGGAATGGCCCAGAAAAAGAAGCATCGAAGACAAAGAAAGATTATTTCTCTAAGATTTTATCTGTGGGTACAATGGAGGATGCAGTAAAGCTTCACGATGGAGGATTTTGTTAGCGGCCATGGAGAGTGGAACAGGCCAAACCACCACAGTTTACCAGCACTGCCGGCGACGACGGCCTCTTAGTGCAGATAAGCCCCGTGAATCCGTGACTGAGCTTATCTCAGAAAAGTGGCTTTTTCATAGCCCAGATCACAGCTCAGCTCCTCAGCAGTGTTTTTGTTTTGCAGAGAAGATCTCAGTTTGAAAGATTCTTATTGAAGAGCTCAAATGACACTAATAAAGTATAAAAATGATCACGGGCTCTTTTATGTCTGTAAATTTTTTCTATTTGCCTTTGTTCAGAACTTTTGGAGGAGATGAGATATAACTCCTAGGGGTGATGTTAATCAAGGTCTTGATTTGATTTCTTAGCTGCTTAAAATAGTGTAACAGATTTTCGCTAAGAAGAACAATATTTTTTTAAAAAATAAGTCTTTATTGATTTCAGGCAGAGGAAGGGAGAGGGGGGGAGAGAGATAGAAACATCAATGATGAGAGAGTCATTGACCAGCTGCCTCCTGAACACCCCCCACTGGGGACTGAGCCCACAATCCTGGCACCTGCCTGGACCGGAATGGAACCTCGATCTCCTGGATCCTAGGTAGATGCTCAACCACTAAGCCATGCTGGCTGGGCAAGAATAATAATTTTTAAGTGCTTCACATTTCTTTTTTCTTTTAAAAAAATATTTTTATTGATTTCAGAGGGAGGAAGGGAGAGGGAGAGAAGATAGGAACGTCAATGATGAGAGTCATTGATCGGCTGCCTCCTGCGTGCCTCCTGCTGGGGACTGAGCCCGCAACCTGGGCACGTGCCCTGACAGGGTATTGAACTGTGATCTCCTGGATCCTAGGTCGATGCTCAGCTGCTGAGCCATGCCAGGCCAGGAAAGAAGAACAATTTTTAAGTGATTCACATTTCTATCGTAGGTATGTGGATGCTGATCTCACAGGGTTCCATATCTAAAAGTACAGAGAAGCAATGTTATAAAGTTCTAATTTGTGTTACTTTTACATTGCTAAATTTCACCTATTTGAATTTTTGAATTAATTTTTCACGTAAACAATGACTAACGTGAAAACTTTTTAATGAAACATGAATAAGAAAAAATATAAATTGGGGCAAACTAAGACCTTAAAGTACCAGAATCCATGGATATGATATCACATATGCTTTAAACATGTTAATTGCCTCTCATTTTATCAGTGATTTGTATGATATTACCCGTTAGCCTGTAAGGATTACTTATTGGCTACTTTCCTCCTTAACACACAACTAAATCCTACCTAGTACATTAGGAAGCCAAAGGGAAGACTGGGCTCAGCTGTGTGACCCTCGGAAAGTCATTTCACTTCTCTTAGCCTCAGTTTCCTTATTTATGAATCATGCACCTGCTTTTCGGGATCACTGAGAGGCTTGCATGCGATAACGCACGCAGCACATCCTTCAATAAACAGCAGTTATTATCCGTCAGGGTTTAATCCCAAGGCCACCTTTCCCCTGAAGCACCTCCCGAGCCCTCCCGCCTGCACCAATGCTTTGTGCACTTTGTCTTAAGTCCTTCCCCACGCATTTCACACGCAGCAGTGTGGTCTCCCAGGCGCGGTGCCAGCCTTGAGGTCACTCTCAGGCCGGGGTGGGTCGCGTCAGTCTTTCCCGCAGGAGCCCAGACGGACTCACACAGAAAAGTCGCCTGGTGGGAGTTTGTTTGACTTTGGTGGAGCCACAGTGCCCAGAAGAGGCGCGGCCAACAGGTCTGAGAGAAGACAGGTGAGCCGTGCAGGGGAGCTGGTGGCAGGTGAGCTGGTGGCAGCGTCCGGGGGCGGGAATCTCGGCAGGGACACTGGCTTTTCAGGCTGTGCCCTGGGGGTGCTCTTCAAACACATCTGCCCAGGTGCGGGGTCTGGGCCCAGCCGTCCCCTCACGGGCAGCCCCGGGAGGATCCAAGCTGGGGGTCCGGGGACGTCCCAGACCCACCCCGCGGCCCAGGGGAGATCCGGAATTCAGAGGTCACCTCCCGAAAGCGGGGGCCACGGCCAGAGGGGGCAGGCACGGACCGCGGGGGGAGATGCTGCGGAGCTCGGCGGGCGGCGCCGGGGTCACGGTTAGTGGCCCAGGGCCGGGAACGAGTCATCCCTTTCCGTGTGGCCTCGGCCTGGCCCCGCGCGCACCTGACGGCGCCGCCACCGGTGCGCCGCGGGGTCAAGCAGCGACT